TGCTCTGTGTGTTGGGGTGGGGGAATCCCTTTTTTCATGCTCTTCTTAAATAATAAAGAGCATAGCTGCACATAACACACATACTCCTCTAATGACTGTCAACAAGTTCCAGAATCTGTGTATTATATTATTGCATCAAGAAGTATTTTTGTTGTTCAGAGAAGCATTTATTTATGACAAAGGATGTAATTATGGTACAGAGTATTTCTTTGGAAACCACAAAGGTAACCAAGAAACAAATGAAACCTTTAGAACCTGAACAGATACAGCTTTCTTTGGCCTTTATTATTCAGGATGTATTTAAGATTACTTTGATTTCTTCACAGGTAGGAGTTATCGCTTTTCTTTCTTCAGTATTTAGGTTTGAGATGATGTACTTAAAATACTTTACTCTTTCTACATGCATGTGTTAGTTATACTAATGTTGGAATGGAAGAGTCAGCAGGGGTTTTGCTACTTCTAACAAAAGCAACAGCAACTAGTAAAATCTTTCTTGTGCTATTGGAAATGATTAAAAAAGGGAAGAGTGTCTAAAATCTTGTTCTTGATGTAGTGATACTGAAAGAGATGGTTTTGTTTGGCTTCCTAGCCTTCAATGATGCATTTCTATGTGTAATATATAAAACTGAGTACAAGTTAAAGAAGACAATGATGTATTCATTTATGCCTATGGACTTTTTGATTTACCACATAATACATAATACCACAAAATATTTTTAGAACTCATTCATGATAGGAATTCAATAAACAACTTGTTAATAGGAGAACACTTCTGCTAATGTAGCAAATGAGTTTGTTCCAGATTTAGTCATACTTAGAATAAACCATGAAAATCAATGGAACTTGGGTTAGTCATGCTTTCCTTGGGTTTCCTCTAAGTATGACCAAGTCTGGAACCAAGCCTTTATTTCCAGTGCAGCAGTAAGGTACATATACAATCCTGCATTTCCAATCTTGTACCACCAGCTTATTTGCTGTGTCAATACCAATTTTCTGTTTATAGGGAAAGTAGGGCTGTATTCATTTTGCCAGTTCCTTGATCACTGACAGCACCAACCATCTCATTAAGGCAGGATGCAGTTCACAAATGCATACCAGTAACTATGCATGTAGCTCAAGATGCTGGGTGGAATAATCAAGTATCGGAAAGCTGTGCACACAGCATCCTTTTGCCTGAACCATTCTAGGCCTGGTTCCATTTTGACTTGACTGAATGGAGCCATAGTGATTGCAAGGACTATCTCAGTCCATGGAACCTGTTCCATACTTATTATAAAGACTGCACTGTGATATTGATCACTAATATTAAACATTAATATTTAAAAACAAATCTTCAATTTCCACTTCCTCAGATATCAGTTTTCAGAAAAGAAGAGAAAATGGAAGTAATGGGGCAGGTCATATGGAGAAGAAAACCATTATGACCTTTTTTGAACTATTTAGTTTTTATAATCATATAGCAATATAATCTCTCAACACCAAGGTTTATCCATAGGGTGAGTGATCATCATAAGGTAGGATGAATGGATGCTAAAAGACATGGGCTTGACCCAGCTATATCCAAATTTATCTAGAGCACTCAGCAAATAGTTCTTACTCTTGACATTCAGAACTACTCTTCCAGACTGATTCTGCTTGCACAAAGACTGCCAATCATGTAAAATGATGTGTTGGATTTGTAGTGTACACACATGGACTAAGGTGAAATGACTAGCTAGCACTTGTTTGAGAAATATAATTTTTTTCTCCTGTCCCTGAGATGTACATATAGAGGGAATTAACTATCCATGAGGCCTTTTCTATCTAATGTTAAGAGAATATTTGTCAAGGTGGCATTTGCTCCAAACAAAGCCACAAGAGTGCTGATTAAATTCCCACAAATCTATAATTCTAGGAAATATTTAAAAAATGGAGCAATGCATGATGAGGCAAGAACCAATTTCATCTTTTCCCTTCATAGTTTTCAACAGCATTTACAAAAAGTGAAAAACTTTAGTTCACAGCAACTATACAATTCTAATGGGTCGAGTGGTTAAGGATACTGGTAAACACCACTTTATGGCAAGCTATGATTTCCTAAAAGTAGCCATTGTAAGGACTCTGCTAAACAAAAAAACTCCCTGAATTCCACTGTGTTGGATAATTCCTGGCCAGTCTCTAATATTCTATGGTTTAGCCAGGTTCTGATGCATATGATGGCTTCACAACCCCAAGGATTTCTAGATGAAGTGAATCATCCAAATCTATGTCTAGCTTGCTGCAGACTTGGTTATTATACAGACGGTGCTTTGGTTATCTTAGTGGATGATCTACACTGGGACCTAAACAGCCAGATTGTGTTCCAATTAGTTCTGCTGGCCTTCTCATTCATTTCCAATACCATCAACTGCAGCGATACTGCTTCTGAAGCATCTCTCTCAGATGGAGAGGCAGTGTTTATATGATAACCCCAGGGCCTCTTGAAGGAGCAATTCCAGGAGGTGAAGATGGGCAGTTTCTACTCATTGGTGTGACCATTGGCCTGAGACGTCCTCCAGGATTCCATCTTATTCCTTCATGAGATTTAGTATGTATGTGACAGTGCTGGGAGAGATTATCTAGCACTCTGAACATCAGTGCCGCCAGTACACTGATTACATGCAACTCTATCTCTCCATTCCATCTAAACCCAAGTAAACCTTTCTGGTTCTAAATCAGTGCCTGATGTCCATAGTGGATGCAATTAAGGCAAATACATTGAAGCTTAATTCAGATTAATTGGGGTGCTTTTGGTTAATCAAAAGGCAGAACAGAAATAGAAAACTCCTGTGCTAGATGGGATTACACTCCTCTTGAAGGATAACAATTTGGGTATATTGCTGGTTTTAGTCCTGAACATGGATGCCCAGAGACTAGTGTGTCTACTGCACCATTTCATAGAGATAACTGATCTACCCACACTAATGCTTTAGTTGCATCCCATTTGGATTACTGTAATTCCCTCCATGTGGGCCTGTCCTTGAAAACTGCCCAAAACTTTCAGATGGTTCAAAATCCTGTGGCCTGCCTGCTGACTGGGACCTGATACATGGACCATGTGTCGTCCTTGTTACAATAACTTCACTTGATACTAATCTATTTCTGGGTAGAGCTCAGAGTGATGATTATGACTTTTATAGCCCTATACTGCTTGTAACCAGGCCTTTTCTCATAAGAGTCTGACTGGGTCCTAATATCTATGGTACCTTTCATATTGCTGGTACCTCCAGAGGTGCTTGGTGGCAATGGAAGAGGGCCTCACAGTGCCCACTCCCAGGCTGTAGAACTCCCCTTGGTTCCTCTTTTCTCTGCTATCCTTCCAACTGCAAGTGAAGGCCATTTAATTCAAGCAGTGTCTGTTAGGTTCAATGCTTTTATTGCATTTAAATGCATTGTTTTATTCTTGCTTTAATCGAGTTTGTGATTGAGTGTCATTTTCTGAGTGCCATCATCTGGGTGACAGGGAGGCTGGAAACCAATTAAGTAAATAACTGATAGGATAACACATATCTTAGTGAGAATTAGCAGGAGGACACATTGGATTCAGATTCTTGATTGCTCTCAAAAAATACTTTACACAAGACACAGCTTCAGAGTATGAATGTCACTGGGTGCTTTGATCAATTTAAAACTGCAAGTGGAAACTTTTGATCTTTTGCTCTGGTATACAATGCAGGGTTGAGCACACAAGTCTATGGCTCATGTAAGTGCATCAAGTAATGAGAAGCCAGGGTTTCTCACTTTATGTGAACCAATCCTGCACACTGCATTAAACAGCAGGGTCTATACATTTGTTCATTTATTTTAAAAATATTGTTTATCTACAGTGAGTACTATCCATACATAGAATATACAGTGTTATGAGCAAATCACATATGGTTGAATTTGACTCGATTTACGAAATCATTTTATGGAAAAGGGGGAACTGGGAGAATCACAGAAAATCAGAACTATATGCTTATGGGCTGACACATTTCCTGTGAAAAATATTACAGTTTAATTATATGCAGACCTGTTCCTAAGCCAATATCAAAGGGTACTTAGCTTGTTATAGAGCCTCTGAAGACTCTCACAGCTTCTTAAAAACCAACATTTTTGGCATTCATTTTGTCTTTTATTGCCTAGTTCCTCAGATACACAAACTATAGTTGGCATTTATAAATTTTTTCTATCTCCTCTGATAGATATTAAGAATGCAAATACTGGAGCCAAAACATCATAGAATGTGAAAACTATGATAGGTCTGAGATGCTATTATACAAAGCTCTAAAGGGCACAAGATGCCAGCAGTGACCATTCTACAGCCTGGAGCTTTCTGAAGCACATGTTTGTTCTAAACCATTTCTATATTCATTTATTAAACAATCAATAAAACTCCAGATGAACACTCAGACACATTTTTGTATACATTTTCCCTACTGTATCCATTTTTATATGCATGTCTACATTGCAAAATCAGAGAACTATAAAGATAATTAAGTTCTTGTCCATGTATTGGTTCAGGAAGTGTAAATTAGGTCAGTGTCTATTATAATATGAACCAAATGAATTTCTTTTCCATCCCCATTGATATGTATTAACACAATCATTCACAATCATTAATACAAGTTTGCTTTGTTATTTAACACATATACGTGGATGACAGTGTGAACCATGGGACCAAATGAAACCCTTACAACCAAAATAAACTATACTAATAAATAGTAGTTTAGTGCTTTCATACTGATGTTTTCCTTTGCAGTTTGTTGTTGTTGCTCTTGAAGAAGATAACATTAATGAAACAAATTTTATAATGGAAGACATGTTCTGCTCAGGATACAATTTTCAAAAACAGACTCCTGAAGTATAACATGTCCAGCAGGAAGCTGATTAGATACATCCTAATGCTGGTTGCTGAGTAGATTTTCTTTTCTTTCTCAAAATAAACGGACCTGTTAAGATCCTACTGTATGGAATAATGAAAATATAATCAAAGCATTTACCTGTGTCAGTTCATTGCTATCCACAAGACCATTGTTGTCCGAATCGTAGTATTTAAACATCTGATCCACCAATAATTTCTTCAGAGCCATTTTATCTTCAACACTCCTTTCTCTTGTTTGTAGCATGTATCTTCTGTTTTGTATATCCAGCAGTAAATTTTTCATCTTGTTGTAGTCAATGGACTTACAGTTGTCCCCTGCCAAGATAATGCCATGTGTAAGGTTATTTTAAGTCTTTTAATAAAATTTTCCAAGAAGGACAGGTTAACAGTTTCTGCTAACACAAAGATTGTTGACCCTTAAGCCAGTCTACATATGTCCAAACAAACATAGAAAACAAATAAACAAAAAAGATGCCTGCCATGGTAGAGTTTAAAATTTGATGGAGATTTTTCAAAATGCCAGAGCCAATGGGATGTACCCACATTTTTGAAAATAAATAATCACATCAACGCCTAGAGATAATGCATGTTTTCTAGAACTATTTGGGGATTAGTTAAAAATATAAATACCAATAAGAAAAATAAATGTTCATAGCTAATATAAAGAGTAATCCACACATGAAGGGTTAAGCAGTTTGAAATTAATTGATAAAATGCATGTGCAAAATTTGAGAAAAAAGTAAAGTTCCATTGAACTTACTCAATGAGAGTTCAATTTTCTGCTTTAAAATGTCAATACAATTACCTAGGTAATCATTAAGCATGTAAGTTTTACTCACAGAATTCAATCACATCCTAATGATGACATTTTTCATATGTCTTTGAAAATAATTTCAGTTCTAAAGTATGAAGAATGGGTCAATTACAGGAGTTAATAAGGCTCACTAAACAGAGGTAGAATGGAGATTCAGATAACTGTCAGCACTGACATGTCAAGTTTCTTCCACATAAATTATGTTCTATGGAAGAGGGGGGAAATCTTAATTAAAAGCCATCAGTTATATCCATGATTTATTTAAAAATAGCAATTAAGTTCATACAGAGAAATGTATGGCAAATTACTTCTGCTATACAGACAGAATCATTCTTTAGATCAAATGACTTGCAAATTAGTGGACAATGTTGTACATTTGATTCTATTCTAGGTAGCCAAACACAGCTAATCCATGTCCTTGTGGACATCCCATGATCTAGATGAAGAATGTGCATGGGCTTAAAGAAAATGCCCTGATAGCTCCTACCTAGTTGAGTTCAGTGCAGCAAGTGATGGAAAGTATTCCTAAAAGTTCATGGTGCTACGTCTCCTTTATAGGAGCACCTGAAAAAACACTGGCCGTCCCTGAGTTATGAATATCCAAGTTAAGAACAAACCACACTTATGAATAAACTACCATAAAGCCTATTGTTTCAAAAATTCCTGCAGAAAATTATCAACACCACAGAGCAAGAGGAAGTGTAAAGGCAGAGAGGGAAGTCTCCTAATCATGCCTTCCTGCCTAGCCCATCTGGAGAGGGAAATTCTCTCTGAAATTTCCTTGCTGCAAAAAGGGGGCGCGGGGGAGTTAGACATATTTGCGGCTAGAGTGGTGGCTAGAGATATTTTTCCACTGTCATGGGGGACCTGCATCCCTAACTCTCACAAATATGGAGTGCTGACTATACATGATCTGACCTACATACAAATTCACCTTAAAGACAAATTTCCATTTTCTTAGGAACAGAACTCATTTGTAACCTGGGGACTTCCTGTATAGTACCTCCCCCAAGCCAAACCTATGCCCTGTATTTTCAAAGTGTCCTTTTATTCCTAACATAAAAGAAAGAGCAAATCCACCTCTTCAGAACATTCTCTCCCTCACCTTTCTCAATGCAGCCATTTCAATCTGATATATATTGCTGAGATCTATGTGGGAAAGCTGGGAGAGGGGAACTAGACTCTTCCAGCCATCTTGAAGACTAAGTGCAAACTAGAATAGGCTAAAGGATCATGGATGGCCTTGATGTGGTCTATGGGTTTTCTTTTCTCTAGGGGTGGCATACATATTACAGAATCATGAACTCTGGAGGCTTGGAGAGGGGTCTGCTTGGGGGGGGGGTGGAAGTCTGCCAATATGGCTGGCATGCTTCACTCTAGGTCGCTGTGTGGAACCCAGAGATGACTCTGGCACCTGACACTAAGGGTGAGAAATACATGCCAGGTTATTTTTGATAAGGATTTACCAAGTTCATACTTTCCAGATCAAACATAAGTTTGGACATAATTGCTGCTTTAACCCTGTAAAATTCCAGACACGTGGTGCAATTTGAAGACCCAGAAATGTCTAGCATGTGTATCACTGGAAAAAAAAGGTGCATGCAAAATATGTCCTCTTGAAATATACACATAAATGTGCTTTAATCGGTGAGAGAAAAGATATGTACAGTTGATATGCACATTTGGAAAATCGTGCATGAATATATGCATGGACTGAACCAAAGTTTTCAGTCTCATACAGATTCAGGTCATAACAGGCTTTGAGATGAAATTCAGACAACTTTGTCAAGATTAAGTGTTGCTGATGTTTGGGCAAGATGGTAATGTAAGCAAGTTGGCATCAGTCCTGTTCCCTACTTTACAACTTTTAAAACATAACTAAGAACACAATTTTACTATTCAGACATCAACACTTACATTGCTTCTTTGTGGGAGTGGGTGGACTGTTCATTAGGCTATGTTGTGTTTATGTTTGTTGCTGTTTGCTTCTAGTAATTTTATTTTATTCAGGAATGTTTAAAAAGTGCTTGAGCTTGGCTGCTTCCTAAACCTAAAAAGGCAATGGGCTTCCACAAGCCCACTTAAGTAGTTGCTTTCCAAAATGCCTAAGACAGTGCTAGGAGAGGGAGGTGAAGACAAAACCATTTCTTTGCTGAAAAATCTGTCACTGGAATTATCTTAGTAATCAACAGAGATATCTCAGCAGTCTAAGAAGATAGGACAGCCGCAGGACTCATTCAAAACACTGCAGGGAATCTGTGGATTCTATATTCCTTAAGATGATGGAAACAAGAGTGGCAAACTTGGAAGATATGGATGTCACGCATGGGTCCCACAAGAATAGTTTAGCTCATGTTTCACAAACAGCTGATTTGAGAATGCTGTTTGAGCAGCCTCCAGAGGTATGGTTGATGTAATTTACAGATTTGGTTCTTTGGGATATTTTCAAAATATCATAAGATTTCTATATTTATGTAAACCAGGCCAATGTGAGGCTGACAGTGAAAGCTGTCATTTTCAAATTTCTGTGCACTTCAACTAAAGAATATCTATTCTGTGCAGCCAGGCAAATGGGCCAGTCCTGGTGGGGATCAGACAAAATTATGCTCTATTGGATTGTTCTAGAAAAATGTCTCATTAGAGAAGAAATTGTATGAATAGATGAGCAGCATGAGAGATATAGTTTCCATATTATATACAGTTATCAGCCATCTTTACTGTTCATTTGCAAAGATAATTGAAGATGTTTCAATCTCCAGAAGCTACAAAATTATTTTTGATGGGTGGTGGGGACAAACTACCCCACTCAGAAGACACTTTCTGATCTGGCTTTTTTCATTGCTCCTGACTTTTTAAATTTAAATTTAATTTAATTTTAATTTGACCAGTTAAAGTTCTGTGCATCTTGCCTTGATTTGTTTATCTGTTCTTCTCTTACACACTTTGCTTTTTCAGCCTCTGTTTTTAAATACAGAGTAATATAATAGATCAGTACAATGTACAATATAATGTTGAGTACAATGGTTTAAACCATTATCTTAGTGGAAACTGAAATGTTTTGTCTTCCTGTTGATGCTAGTGGTGGTATTTTTCATTCATTATTTCCTTCTCTTTTTTTCCTTATTAATATACAATGAATTATATGACTTAGACTTTGATTAGAAATAGGCATCCTTGTACAGAGAGGAAGATATGTATGTGCATAACAGCTTACAACATATTTACCATTATTTCATGTTTTAAGTGACTTATTGAAATGTTAAATGACTGTAGAAGTCACATGGACAGAAGAAAGTGTTTTCCATACTAAAGGATCATAGCACTACTGTGGCTTTGCTACATGAAATGCACATGATGGCAACAAACATCAGCTGATAAGACAATAGGTGAAGAGACTTATATAATAGATATTTTGACTAGGTTTAAAAGACTAGTGATATTAATCCATAAATGACTTTTATTTTCATTTTCATTATTTTCATTTTGGCAGACAATGATTGATTCTAAGGTTGACTCTAAGGTTGAAACACAATGAGAATTATTTTAATTAATGTGTATGGCTCTTTAGGTATGTTTCATGGTTTTTTTCCAGAAAGTTGCTTGATCAGCATATTACAATTTTACTGGGCAGTGGTGATGGTGGTGCAGGCTTATTTATAGCATCTCATCTTAATATCTCATTAAATAGCTTCCTGGGCGACTCTGGCTGGTGTAATGCCAGCAATGGTGACATTTGCAATTCACATCATTGCTACCCCAACTTAGATCCTTAGGTAGGATTGAAACACTGCTAATATCAGATAACACTCCTGTTTACTTGGAGTTTCAATTTACAAATTGGCCAAGGCATACCAATTTTGCTGCTTTAAAGTTTCTTGGTTGAATTATGATCCTTTCAAAAATTCATTTTTTTCTGAATTACAGGTTTATTTGGAAATTACTGAGGATACATCTATCTTCACTGAGTGAAAGGCTATTAAAACTTCATCCAGGGCCATATTATTACTTATAAAAACACAGAAACAGAGCGAGTCAGAAGGGGCATCCCGGGCCACTTATCCTTCTACCTGTTTAAGATGCATTACTGAAGAATGGAAAATGCCTCAGTAAGATTTTGGCCCATTAGGTCAAGCAACGAAAAGATTTAAAACAATATTTTAATGATTAAAGATGATAGTGACAAGACATATACTAATCCTAAAGACATAAACTCTTGATCTGTAAAAATAAATAATGAAATAAAATCAGAATTTTATTGCAGGGAAATATTATGAACAAGTTATGGAAGCTTCCTTTGCTCATGTTAATCTTCTGTTTAGATACTATAAAAGTGCAATCTTTATTGGCACCTTTGTGCACTGAAGGAATTTAAAAAGCAATAACTACTCTCAAAACTGGGAAATGACTTCATCAAAAGAGATTTCCAATTGAGTGATATAAAGCATTTTCTTTTTTTTTAGTTCACAGGCTTTATCACTTTTATAATTTCATTTTTGAGTCA